TAACATATAGTATTATATAAACATTATACATGTATACTGTAATACATTTTAGAACAATTACAATTATATAGTAACAGTTACTGTACTAGCTAGCGAATATAATAATGTAAATAATTAATTTGTAGTATCATAATATTCATGATTATTTATATTTATTTATGATTTATCGCATCGATAATTTAATTATAACATGTTGGAAAGCGTGATCTATTCCTTATACATAAAGTTTTAATTTAATTAATTATTTATCGTTATATTAAATAACATTCTGTTTTTATTCTGAGAGCTGCCAATAGAATATCGGCCGATAATCGGTTTCCTTTGTATTGTATACAACATGCTATTTCGTAACGCAACAGCGAGCGCTTACCAAGAAGAGGCCGACCAATTCCGGTGCAAATCACCGAACAGGAAATAATCGAATGCAACTAAACGCGTATTCCACTACGTAGTGTTTGACATGCGTAGATTTGTCGGCTCTGCGAATTTTTTTCATTACGAACGTTTAGAATGGAAAATTTTAAAAGTTTAAATTTTAAATTTTAAACTGGCACTTTTTTAAAATTCCAATTTTTCGATTCTGTTTAAAAATCTTTTTATTTTACTATTTCTAAATTTCAAATCTGATATCTCTCGAGGTTACTTATTATTTTATTAATAATTCAAACTTTTTTTGAAAAACTGTTTTTTGAATTATGTTATTATTGTGTTGTTAGCAAATGAGTGATAATCTCTATAAAAATATATATAATGCTACCTCAAGAGACACTTATAGATTTAAAATGTATTTATTATTTGTGTGTGTGTGTGTGTGTGTGTGTGTGTGTGTGTGTGTGTGTGTGTGTGTGTGTATGCGCGCGCGCGCGCGCGCGTGGTGCGTGTCATTCTTAAAAAAAATTTTAACATGAGGAGAAAGATTGGCGAAGATCTCACGATTGTTAAAACTATGGCACACAAAAAACTCAAGCAGTAAGTAAGACATAAGCAATAAGGAAATTAACATGTTGGATTTGCTACTGCTTACGTTTTCTACTGCGATTAGCCATTTTAAGTTTTTTTAAGTGTGCCATGGCCGATATGTTCCCGTAGTGAAAAAATTTAGGGCGGTAAGATAGCTGAGAATCAATCGCTTTAGATATAGAATGGATGGCACTGAGGTAAGAAAGTAGCTCGCCGAATCACCTGATCACAGATTAAGGTACCACACGACAGACGACGTGTTTGCGTGTGAGTTTATGACGCGGCTGACATCGTGCTCGTAAGAAATTTCCTGGTTTCGTGCTTTCCATTTTATTCGATATGAATTTACAACGGAGATAAAACAAGGCTAAGAAAAACGTTAAGCGGAACTATAATACTCCACCATAAAGCCAATCGACCGACCTCAGAAGTGAGACTCGGTTCACTCTTACCATTTACATTGTGTCGACCGATGCTGGTTGCAATATACATATAATCGGCATCGAAATTATTGCAACGTTTTGTGTTACGTATTAATGTTAATGGAGGTCATAGTTCCATCATAAAATTGTTTAACATAAAATGGCTTTTTCTACACATCTAGATAATATATATACTATATAGATAAAGAGTACCATAATTTAAAACGTAACATTTAAAAAGAACAGTTTGAAGTCTTGAAAAATGTGTTTAAAAAAGTCTATAATAATATTTTATGATAATAAAGTAAAAATCTAGTTTTCTCGATTTAATACCATTCTCAATAAATTTTCCGCATTCCATAAAAATTGAAAATACTTATTTAAACATTTGCTTACGTTTAATAAAGTTATATCGAGCATAAAAATTAAAAATTGCTACAATATCCCACTTTTGATTATAACTAAAAAAGTTTCAAGCCATTCTTCCTATTCTTTATATCCATTTATTATTATACACATAGTCTAAATGTAGACGGATAAGGCAAAAAAGAAAAGCGTATAGAATAATTAGTGGTAGACGGTCTACCAAAGTGTAAAAAGAATCATGAAGACCATCAGGCAAAACAAAAAAGAAGAAGTTCAAAGGCGGACAAATGAAGACTTACACGCCGCCAACCTCGCAAAACACGAATTGCTTCAACCCTCCACCTCATCCTTTCCTTCACGTCTTACTTCCTCACGAGGGTGTAAACCGCCACTACAGAAACGACACTTTCATATTTCTCAGTTCCTCTTATCACTATCTTCTCTCAATTTCTATTTATCCTCTTTTCAACCTCTTTATTCCTTTATTCCTCCGCTTTATTTTTCGTTTTATAGAATTTCTTGATTCTACCATAATTAATCATCCTACTGTCGTTGTCGAATCAATCAAGAAGTTACTATGTGAAGTATTAAGTACCGGAAAAAAAGTTTTGTTTTTTAAAATGACTTTTATAAAGCGAATGTGACAATCAAACGTATATATATCACGTATAAAATCGTTTCTTTTATGATACTCCATCATTTTCCGATATTATGATCTTTATTGCGTTTGCAGATGCCCTCTTAAATTACGTAGCAGCTTTCCTCCTCAAATGGCGAACAAACATTTTTCTCCTACCTAACGCAGGCACATAATATACACAGGTGCCCGCAGGTCAGATTGATGTACACGCTGAGTCTCCCACGCGGACTATGCATATACGAATGAACGGTGGATACGCATTGCTGCTTGCCATTCTATAGGGTGCTCCGAGTACAAGCGTTCAGATCGTAACAAACGATGAAGAAATTACATCAATAAAATAAACACCTTCACTTTTCACGCACGTTTATCACAAAACGATATTTTGCATTTTTCGATTTTTAATTACCTATTTCTATTTTCTAATCTTGTAGGCTTTATCGTATTATCATTATGAATATCATTTAATAATTTACACATCTATTTATTACCGAGATTCTCTTGTAGCGTTTAAAAGAAATAATCTTATTTTCAAAAATCTTAATGCTTAAGTATTTCACACAGTGTGAATTTATATATATTCAATTCTGCAAACCGCGCGCCGAAATCTTTTTCGGTCTTAAAACGCAATCATGAACAGAACTAGAATAGTTCACAGTATTAAATTGGCAAGCAATTTAATAATTTTGTTAATACGCATTTCTTTTAGCATCATTAAAAAAACTTTAGAAACAGAAGAAATAGATTGCATCTAAAAGACAACACATTTTGGCAATTGACAAATTTTTTTTATTATACCAAGGAAAGATTTGAAGAGAAGACTATGTCTCGCGAAAAAGGAAGCAAAACAAATCAGGTAAATGGCAAGAAAGTCTCTTTAAGAATACACCTCGAGAATACATAACCGGAACATAATGCACGCGCGCGAGAATGGTGAATATTTTAAGTACGTTTTACGAGAACAATTTACTCGAGGAAACAAAGAACACGCGCCTTCGTCACCTGTTCGAATCACTGCGCTTCTATCCACGTCACCCTGTAGACTGCGTGGAAAACTCTGACACGCACACACGCGCCGCGTTTGCTCGATACGCACGCCATTGTCCCTGGCAGTCTGTAATTTACTAACTACGCATCTATTGTGCATCGCCACTCTGTTTGCTGCAACACCTTGCTCTGCCTTTCTTTACACCGCCTGTAGCTCTTCCTCCGCCCATTTGTCCCTTCTGAACCTATTTCAATCGGGAAACAATGTTTCTAATGCGTTTCCTGCTTATATCTCAAATTCTGAGTTTAACCTGTCTTTCTCTTTTTCTTTATTTCTTCAGTAATAATAATCTTTCGCAGATAACATTCTTATGTAAAGAACTTTAAATTTCAATCTAACAATAAGTGATCATTAGCTGTCGAACAAGATAAAAGAATAATCTGTTTTTTTTTTTGGTTTTTTACTATGATAACCCGACTTTATATATCATATTCAATTTTATATATCAATTTTAGTAATTTGACTAATTTACTCACCTTGATAAAACGCTTGGCTTTGGTCAAAAGACCCAACGTGGTGTGTCTCGAGGTTTCAGGCCCGAGTGGCACTAGCAGCTTCAGCTTCTCAAGACAAGTCCTAAGATGGGCTCTCCTGTAACAGAAAAAAAAATACTACCGTCATCAACTGCAACATCTTTCGCTTTTTGCATATTATTCTGTGAAAAATTTCTGGTTAAAAATCAGAAGATTCTGACCAAATCAATCAGAATTCTCATTATCTGAACTAGAATCCCGACTAGAATAGATTCAATCAGAAAATTCTGATTTATTCTGATTATTTCCATCAGAATTCTTATTAATACAATCAGATTTTTTTTCTGTATTAAATTACTCTTATTATAAATAATTGAATTGCACTTTTACCATTCTATTAGTCTTATCTCTATGGATAATCACTGATATCAGTGCCAAGCATACCACTGATAATCAGTGAATGAAATGTGAGATCCCTAACCTAACTCATCTTTATTATGTGATCTAACTAACCTTGTTTTAGTGCATAAATTTAATGAATGTAGTATTGGAAAATTGAAATTAATATGCAAATATCAGTAATTTAGTTATGTAATACTCAAACATTTTTCCTTTTTTAATTAAATTTCACTGATTATCAGTGTCAAATATACCACTGAGTAATTAGTGACTATCCATTGATTCAGATTTAGAGAGTAGGCAATTATCGCCAAAATATAAAAATTTTTTTGTTAAAATAATATCTTAATTATCGTGAAAAAATAGCTAAAAATATCTATTTTCGGCGAAATGCAATGTCGCGAGGATGCGTGCATATTATCGCATGTACCAAACACGTGCCATTAGCGGCATTTAATTATAAGTTTACGATTGCTTTATAGTCACTATTCTGGAAAATAAAGACTCCGACGACTATAATGGAAGAATGAGACCACGGAAATTTCGAATTAAGATAAATTCACACAAAAACGAAATGTTAAAACAAAAGAAATAAATAAAAAGAAATTTAGAAAATAATGAAAAAGGAAATTTGTCGCTTTCAAAATTAAGTTGTTATACTTCAATCTCTTTTTTTCATCATCGAATATTTCATCGGAAAAGAATTTTTCTTATATGCATGATATATGTGAATAGAGCTTAAACCCATCCAGAAAGAGAATGACGCGTTTGCACATACACTTTACGAGAAACAATAAGCCCGCTCTAGCTTAATGACGTCATTAAACGGTATTATGCCCCGTGAGCTGCAGAGTGGACATGTTTTAGCCGTAAATAGACGCGTTTCTATCTACATAGCCTTACTATGTCTCCTCTCTGGACATGTACACGATGTATATATGTACAAGATATATCTGTAATACTGATTAGGCTTTCATCATCTTCTTTAGGATATAATTTTCCTTCGAACTCTTAAGGATATCTGGAACTATTAAAGATAATCACTATTTAAATTAACAACATTATATATTCTTGTAATTAAAATAAAAATTTGAAATAAATAAATCTTCGATGTTTTTCACCTTTATTGAGGTTAAATTCAAATGCCATTGCAGAGAATTAAAATATCGTGAAAGAATATCTGTAAAAAGTACGTTTTCCAAGAACACTGTATGGTGCCTGCCATTTTCAATCAACAGCAACATTTTTGTGACAGGGGAAGGGCAATGGAGGAGAGGAGTAGAGAAGCGATCCTTCAATCAATGGCAGCGTGTGACAGCGGCATTATGAAATTCCTTTACCAGTAGGGGTTACCCTGATGAATAAATACTTCGCACGGAATTCCCGCGCGTTGGAGTCGTTGGGGTAGTTCGGCAAAGACGCGGTTACGGCAGACCCGCGGATCGGGGTATATATGTGGAAGATTGCCCTCAAAGGGAGAATGCCTTGGAGACGCAACGAGCGGCAACAGTCGAATATTAGTCGATAATTCGCCCGCAAAATCGCCAAGCGGAAAACGAGTAATTCGCTACACTGTTTGTTTCATTTTCTATTTCACGATTTCAAAATATCTGATATCTTTTCCTTTTAATCGAGGATTTCAAGATATACTGAAATTTAAACAATTTACTCGATTTAGTCGCAAAATGGAACTAGCTGCGCTTGAGGCGACTTGTATTAAGCGCGAACAACGTTGCGTTGCGTAGCCAAGCCTGGCGGGAGCAATGGCCGGCCATGAGTTAGATCGCTTTAACAGCCGCCTGTAAACAGCCTCGTAACTTCTCCTCCGATATCTTTCCCCCTCCTTTCTTCTGTCTATCTATCCATCCCATTACGCTGCTGCATCATCATCCCCCTTATTTCATATTCGTCTTTCATCCTCTATCTTTTATTTCCATGTCCTTGTCTTTATTCTGTCCTTCTTTCTTTCTTTCCTTTTCCTTTTCATTTGTTTTTATCTTTACCTTGCTCTATTATACAATTAATTCTCAATGCTAAAATTTCTCTATAGTTTATAATTATGCTACTGTATTGATTCCAGTTACATTATTTATATCCACATAATACGATTTATTGCGACTTTGAATCGTAAATATCTATCTTTTTATTCTAACAATAAAAATTCTGTATAACTTATTAATTTTTATTAATCTAGTGTTCTGATTCTAAAAAATCAAGTTATTCTTTTATTTGTGAACAATTATGTATTAATTATGTAAAAATTTTTAGTTTTATAATCTAGCTATTAAACATTGCATATTTATTGCTTCTACAATACTCGTAGACAATTAGTTTTAAATCTATCTAAATTAAGGATAACTTGTCACTTATATTCTATTAAAATATGGCATTGATCTAAAAAAAAATAAAAAAAAAATAAAAAAAAAGATAAAGAGTTAAAAGTTACTTCGATGTAACTATATAAAATACTGCAAAGAGATATCGAAATATTCTGGATATATTGGAGGGAGGAGAATAAAATTAAAATTTATTACTTTTAAAATATAGTAAACATAGATTTGCTCACAAAATAAAATCAAAAGTAACGTTTTCAACGCGCAAAGCTGTATAAACAAATATGGTAAAATATATAATATACATATAAAAACAATTAATTATGCTCCATTAATCATTATTTATTACTCCAGAAGCAAATAAATACCAAACAAATTCTTAACTCCCATTTTCGATACCTTAGATATCAATCAATTAAGTCCAATCGGTTTTTTATTAAATTACTATTAAACGACGGAATTTTCTCAACTCCAACATTCTCAAATTTTTAGTAAAATTAGTATCCTTGATTAATCGGGCATTAAACCCAAAGGAAAGGTCAACCATTCAAGGAAATCGAGCTTTCGTTTGAGAGGGGATTCGGAATAGTTTAGCAATTCATTAGGATGGACACTCGAGAGTCGAGACTTAGGCGAACTTGGACTTCCTTCAACTGGCGCTCATTCTATACAGAGATCGGACAGAGAACGAGAGAAAAGGAAGAGAGAGAAGCAACTAGAAGCATTACTGCAAAATACTGTTTGTAGACACAAGCGAAATGGGTCTGGCTTAATTAAACTGTATGCAGCTTCCCAAAACGGGATTCCATTTAAAGCTGAGTTTTGCCTCAGATCTCCGCAAGCTCCTTTTCGCGGAAGATTTTTTCTCGTCTCTTATCTTTGACCCTTTCAATTAATCGCGCAGAGTTATAATTTCAATCGTACCAAACTCAATGTGATATAAATATTTATGACAAAATGATTAGTTCTGAATATGACATTTTTGTAAGTCTTTTCGTAATCTTTATGAATCGATTATGAAAATTATAATAGTAGTAATTTTAATCTCAGTAATGTTAATACTGCAGAAGAAAATGTACTAATTAAAACGGATTATTGTATGTAAAATATTGTAATTTTTCAACAGCGCTTTTATAAAGCTAATTCCATCGAATAATCATTAAATGTTACGTACAGATATCAATCTTTTACAAATATACAACGATACAACTTTTACGAAACATTCGACATTTTTAAAACAAATTTATAAAAATGTAAAGAAAATTGTTAAATCTCTCTCCAATCATTTTATTAACCGTAACATTATTATATGTTAAAAATATTTCATAGAAATATTATATCAAATACTAAGGAATAATTATATTAAGAAAGATGTTACATCAAAAAATATCGATTAAATTAACATACAAAAATTACAGAGTAAAAGTCTTGATATGCATTGTGTGGAACACCCGGTATAGTTGAGTCTACACTCACATGGGTATTCACCGGCATGTGTATATGCATACGGACAGCTGTGTAATGCTGGTTTCGCTTAATTAAGCTGTTTCTAGTTGTGTCGAAATCCTTAGTGAACGACAAAGGCGAGTCCGCACGTGCCTTCATTAGACTCCCTCAATTCAGAGTAGCAAATCCTGAGACCAGCTCGATCCTATGTCCGAGGGATTTAGAGGTAAATGCATGTCCTCTTCGGTATTGGGAATGTATTACTTTATCCGTTTCCTATGCTGTAAAAAGAATACAAGACCGAAAATTCACGCGTCATTGTATAAAACATCTCCTGGTTCTGCCACATTAAGTTAACTTCATAGCGTTACATATTACGTGTATGAAACGAGAAAAAAAGCATAAATTGATAAAAAAACGGCGTATACTCAAATAGAAACGCTGGCCAATTGCCACCTTATTTTTAAAGTCGATGGCATAGAAGAGCATTATTCTTCTGTTCTCTCCCACGCTCGTAACACCCCCTTTCTCTCTGTATCTATGGTTTTAGATCACATCTCCCCCGGCAACTTGATCTTGACCTTTCGAACCCCGTACGTGATTACGCCGGCTATTTCTCCTCGTATATCCCTTCTCTTCCTTTATCCCTTTTCTTCCTCGTCCTCTTCTGTTCCTCTATACAACTTTGTTTTATCTTCTTCGTATCAATGTAAGTTATGTTCAAAATGTAACCAGAGATAATTTTCTGCCAAAATTATTTTTGCTGAATCTAACAGCATTTCTTGTATTAGTCCTATAAAATTTTCAATTCAATTTCTCATATATTATATATTCACGTTCCTTCGTCCCGCTCCGGAAAGTTTCGAATTAAGAAAAAACGCATTGACGAGTCGTTTTGTTTTTTCCGGGGACAAGGATAAAACTTCGTTGATCATAAAAT